TAGTAAATGTTTTGGTTTGTTTCGTTTATGGCTCATTTGATGCTGAAATTTAATTTTCTTGGGAACTTTGGTAATTTTTTATTGTTACCATTAAAATGTATACCTGGATCTTTTTTCTTACTATTAAAATTTATTACTGGATTTAGTCTATTAAATTATTTTTCAAGAATTTGTTTTCTATTAAAATCAAGTGCTGGATTTTTTTTCTCTTAAATTCTATTGCTACAATTATTTTATAATATTAAAATCTATTGCTGGAATATTTTACTATTAAAATCTATTGCTGGAACTGTTTCTATTAAAGTCTATTGTTAAGATATTTTTACAATTAAAATATATTGCTGGAATTTTTTTCTATTAAAATCTGTTGCTGGAATTTTTTTCTATTAAGATCTATTGCTGGCACAGTTTCTATTAAAATCTGTTGCTAGGATTTTTTTTTTACTATTAAAATCTAATTTCTGTTTTATTTTTCTGTTAAAATATATTGCTAGAAATGTTTGTTATAAAAATGTATTTTATACTTTCATGGTGATTTGACCCCAGGTTGTGGGTCAACTATTTGCTCGTATCTGGGTTCCTAACTGGTGCTACTGGTGGGGTTAGGGTGAATCTGGAAACAACTGCAATTAAGAGGTGATTCGACCTTCCTCAAAACCTCCCGAGCAGCGGCCCTGATGCCAGATGTAGTTTATCGTCATACCCAGGACAAATACATAAATGTGTTCAACGTTGAATGTCGCACCAAATTAATCGAAGAGATACGTCTCGTATTTGGAAAAACAATTCTTCATTTGTCACGTTGATAAATAACATAACATCTCAAGTGGTTAACGACTTTTTATTACTTTGCCGTTCGAGTATCTTTAGATAAGAGGAGTTCGTTCCAGCGCTCCAGTGAAGATAGCTTTTTGACAATTCATTTTGTTCTGCCACTTACAAAATGAGAGGGAAATTGTTTCTTACACTTACATGACAAAACCTGTAGAGTTGTCATTTATTTGTCGGCTATGTGAAGTCCCATAATTTGAAAATTCTTGACGAAGTGAATTCGTGCACATATATGTTTCTTTACGAAGTGTGAAGACGCTCGGACCTGTTAGCATGATGAAAAAACTAAAAAAAGATACCGTTAACCAACTTCGGATTTCATCAGGGCTAGTATATTATCCCTTTCAGACGATTTTTTAAAAAAATTTTCGAAGACAAGAACCCACTTCTTTTTATGCTCTCTTCCATTGACGGAGATCTGGATAAAATAGCTCGTTACTGGCATGTCAAGATATTTGATCTAAAAGTGTATTTGGACAAATCATTCTCCTATAGTTACTATTGTGGTAGGATCCACCTAATTTGCATAGTGGAGTACCGACCATATAAATATGGTTGGTACCGGGAAGAGAGGGAGGAATCAAGAGATTCAACCAGAGACTCTGCCCGACTGCGACTCAGTCAACACATTCTCCAGGAACGGTCTTACCAGAAATATACAAAAGGCTATATGTAAATATTGTGTACACTTTCTTGTTTCGATACATTTTGTTCTAAGTACATTTTGTGTTGTATTATTATTCCATGCATTAGTCAAGTTTTAACAGTTACCATTTTAGAAAGCTGCTCTCCACAGATACCTTTTCTTTATTATCTGTAACTTGACAAAGTTTGATGGAAAAATTCTTTCCCTATTGTCTTCTACTCGGTTTTCAATTTCGAGTAGACCTTCCATTAGACTGGCTACGTTTCAAGGATAGAAAGCTCAGTTTGAACTATTGTTTGTTCCATAGCTGAAATAAAAACCAGAGATTCATGTTTTCCCCAGAACACTTCTACTAAAGTGAGTACAACAGATTAGGCGGGATTTTGAACTTGACTCAAAGAATTTATTTGACCGCCGATAAAGAGTATGATACACACACTGATAACTTAGTCTGTTTAAAATTTTCTGCTCGTGTGGGGAAGCGGGTCTTACCTGAAACGAGTGACAGAATTCCAATTTGCAAGAAGTAGCATCAATAATTCAGCAACTGAGTCATAGACAATCTTTCCGTCTTGAGCTTTCAAGTCTACCAGTTTACATATTTACAGCACAATAGTCGACTTGAAATTCATAGAACATGAAAATCGAATTCGTTTGACTTTGTTTCAGTGCATAATAAAAAGACGCTCAATGGTACAATTTATATACGCAAGAAAATAAAGAAGCACAAAAATACGATACGCCATAACTCAGCAAAATTCGTCAATTTTCTTGTGTATTTCGGTAGCAATCCATCTTTCATGCAAGTTTCATTGAAGACGATTGACAAAGTACTGCGATTAACCTTTGGCCCTGTAATTAATTGTGCCATATTAAAAGGGTGTACACCAAGAATTTTGTCGTACGTAGGGAACAAATCAATACATTTCCTTTTTTCTATTTATCTATCTATCTTCAATTATATCCAACCTAATTCTTTTAGCCTTATCCAGGATAATGTATATTTAAAATGTTAACTGAATGTATAGATTTTTATATATGTTTCTATAAAGAAGGAATGATTTTTTTCCAAACACCTTCAGTATATTTCAGGTCGTGTACAGTTCTACTATTTTGCCAGCAAGCTTTGAATATTGAATTGTTACAACGGTCAGTTTTTAATTCAAGCCTGAAAATATCTACCTGCATGAAACTTTGCGAAAATGCATATTTTATTTTTAGTATACACACACACATATATATATATATATATATATATATATATATATATATATATATATATATATATATAAGTATAAGTGCGCAGGTACGCAGAAAATAGAAAAGAACACGTTTGGTGCATAATCCGGTGTTCCTTAGTACTTTTGTTTTTATTTTTAAGAAGACAGTGCTCCATACAGAAGTAGAGCTTATATTGTAATATTTTTTAAAAAATAGGATTCCTTCGCTACATAAGAGTTCTCATGTTTCAAAAACAATGTTGCAATGGACCATACTTATAAACACGCGCAAACCACAAGATAGCTTATTCCTAAATTTTCGCTTGAGTATGAAATGGGACCCAACACCTTGATTCAACTTAATTTTAATAATTATATTGATGGTTTCGGCTCTCGTTTTTGAAACATGAGAACTCTTATGTGGCGATGGAATCATATATTTAAAAATATATTACTATATATATATATATATATATATATATATATATAAAGAGAATGATAGAGAAACAAGACGGTTTCGAATCTTCTCATATTGTACGTGCTATATGACTTTCGATGAAAATGCGATCGTATGCAACACGCTTCATCATTGTTGTCTATTCACTATTTTATTTTATTCCTATTATATATATATATATATATATATATATATATAAAGAAAGAAGAGTAGGATATATATTCCGGTGTTCTTATTGATATTTTTATTTTTACAAAATAGTGTTCAATGTAAATTTACAGAGCATTAATATTATAAATTAACTGATTAAAAACATTAGTTCTCTTTCATCCTCAAGCGAATTTTGGAGTTTCCAAAATTTGCATGAGAATGAAATGGAACTGATGTTTTTAATTACAAAATTAAATTCCATTTTTGAAACATAGTTACTACTGTGTAGCGAAAAAAAACATATTTTAAACCAGTTAATTTATAATACATATATATATATATATATATATATATATATATATTTATAAAATGCATGTATTTCCATTTCCAGTAGCGTACGTGTTGATATGTAGATACATATTATAGACACAAAACATTATTTATAATATCTATCTACATATCAATACATTCGCTATTGTCTTCATACAAAAACTAAAATACATGCACACAGCTAAATGTATATTAATATATATATATATATATATATATATATATATATATATATATATATATGCTTACTTTAGCTCAAAAAAAAAAAATTTCTGCTTGAAGATGGAACAGAGCTTACTTTAACTCAATTTAATTCAAATAATTATATTGAAGTTTTCGGCTCTTGTTTTGAAACATGAGACCTCTTATGTCGCGAGTTGAATCATATTTTTAAATAAATAATTATATTTATGCTCTACTTTTGTATCGAACACTATTTTAAAAAAAAATAATAACTATATATATATATATATATATATATATATATATATATATATATATATATACACACACACAGATAAATATATTTATATATATATACAGAAAGAGGAAATATATATATACAGAAAAATATATTTACACACACACACACACACACACACACATACGCATGGACAGAAAAATATATATATAAACATGACAGGATATGAGAATGAGAACTGTCTCGGAGGATTAAATTGGGCCCTTCCGTGCTACTGATGAATGCATTTTTGTCTATAGCTTAACTCAACCACTTGACCTCTAACATCATCAATATAGAAAACGCTAAATGGTGCTCATGCTAGAATGCTTCAGGCTGCCCTTAACATTTCTTGGCGTCAACAGCCGTCAAACATGTAGCCCAACGGCAAATTCCTTCCCGTCTTTGACGCCATATGGAAGCAGAGATTAAGATTTGTAGGACATTTCAGGCACCATAAATAAGAACTTGTCTCCGATCTTTACGACCAACCCAGGGAAAATATGACAGACGTCGACCAGCGTAACGTTTGTCAAGCAAATTCTAAAAGGTAGAGGGCGCAAAATTGAAAAACTGTAGATACCCATGAGCAAAAGGAGGAGTGGAGGTACCATGTCCATTAGTGCTGTGTAAACCCGTTCTATTAGTAGGAGTAGATAGATAGATAGATAGATAGATAGATAGATAGATAGAAGGTAGGTATATAAATGAATACTGCATCTTAAGTGTTTCGTACTTCGAGAGATCATAGTAAGTCATATAACTGAAAATAGATAGATGAACAGAAAAGAATAGATAGATAACTAGATAGATAGAAAGAAAGAAAGAAAGAAAGAAGATAGGTATAAAAATGAATGCTGCATCGTGTGTGTTTCATACTTCGAGAGATCATAGCAAGTCTTATAATTAAAAATAGATAGATAGATAGATAGATAGATAGATAGATAGATGAACAGAAAGAGATCGATAGATAGATAGATAGAATGTAGGTTTAAAAATTAAAAAGACATAAGCTGCATCGTGAGTGTTTCATACTTCGAGAGATCATAGCAAGTCTTTTAATGAATATATATATATATATATATATATATATATATATATATATATATATATATATAGATAGATAGATAGATAGATAGATAGATGAACAGAAAGAAATGGATAAATAAAAAGACAAAAAGAAAGAAAGAAAGAAAGAAAGTAAGTGGGGAAGGAAGAAAGGAAGGGTGGAAAAAACAAAGAAAAAAAGAAAGTTTATCTATTTGTTTGCCTTACATGATAAGCTCTTTCGTGAACAGCCCTCTAATATGGTACAAATAATTACAGGACCAAAGGGAATATTCTAAAGCATTATTATATCTTCTTTTTCTTCTTTTTTTTTTTTTTTTTTTGATGTTGGTGCTAGAGGCGATTATTATGCATTAAATGTCGCACGACCGTTTTTCTGTTATACGGAAATATATTTTGTCGCAATGTCATTACGAGATTACAATTTATTTCATTTTTATTAATGTTAAATTAAGAGACAATACGAGCGATTTGTAATTGTTTCTCAGGAGTATTTCCCCATAACATATTTTACATGTTTACATAGCATAGCTTCTTTGGAAATTTTGGCTTGGAGGAAATACAGAAAGAAACAAAGATGGGCGGAATGAAAGGAGGAAAAAAGGAGAAAGAAAGAAAGAAAGAAAGAAAGAAAGAAAGAAAGAAAGAAAGGCGGAAAAGTTAACCGGACTGTAGTAGAAAGAAAGAAAGAAAGAAAGAAAGAAAGAAAGAAAGGCGGAAAAGTTAGCCGGACTGTAGAAGAAAGAAAGAAAGAAAGAAAGAAAGAAAGAAAGAAAGAAAGAAGGAAAGGTAGAAAAAAAGAAAGAAAGAAAGAAGGAAAAGTTAACCAGACTATAGAAAGAAAGAAAGAAAGAAAGAAAGAAAGAAAGAAAGAAAGAAAGAAAGAAAGAAAGAAAGAAAGACGGAAAAGTTAGTCGGACTGTAGAAAGAAAGAAAGAAAGAAAGAAAGAAAGGCGGAAAAGTTAGCCGGACTGTAGAAGAAAGAAAGAAAGAAAGAAAGAAAGAAAGAAAGAAAGAAAGAAAGAAGGAAAGGTAGAAAGAAAGAAGGAAAAGTTAACCAGACTATAGAAAGAAAGAAAAGAAAGAAAAAGAAAGAAAGAAAAGAAAGAAAAGAAAGAAAGACGGAAAAGTTAGTCGGACTGTAGAAAGAAAAAGAAAGAAAAAAAGAAAAGAAAGAAAGAAAGAAAGAAAGAAAGGCGGAATGAAAGGAGAAAAGTGGCCTGACTGTGGAAAAAGAAAGAAAGAAAGAAAGAAAGAAGGAAAGGTAGAAAGAAAGAAAGAAAGAAAGAAAGAAAGAAAGAAAGAAAGAAAGAAAGAAAGACGGAAAAGTTAACCAGACTGTAGAAATAAAAAAAGAAAGAAAGAAAGAAACAAAGACGGAAAAGTTAGTCGGACTGTAGAAAGAAAGAAAGAAAGAAAGAAAGAAAGAAAGAAAGAAAAAAAGAAAGAAAGGCGGAATGAAAGGAGGAAAAGTTGGCCCGACTATGGAAAAAAATAAATAAAGAAAGAAAGAAAGAAAGAAAGAAAGGCGGAAAAGTTAACCGGACTGTAGAAAGAAAGAAAGAAAGAAAGAAAGAAAGAAAGAAAGAAAGAAAGAAAGAAAGGCGGAAAAGTTAGCCGGACTGTAGAAGAAAGAAAGAAAGAAAGAAAGAAAGAAAGAAAGAAAAAAAGAAAGAAAGACGGAAAAGTTAACCAGACTGAAAGAAAGAAAGAAAGAAAAAAAAGAAAGAAAGAAAGAAAGAAAGAAAGAAGGAAAGGTAGAAAGAAAGAAAGAAAGACGGAAAAGTTAACCAGACTGTAGAAAGAAAGAAAGAAAGAAAGAAAGAAAGAAAAGAAAAGAAAGAAAGAAGAAATAAAGAAAGAAAGAAAAAGAAAGAAAGAAAGTAAGAAAGAAAGAAAGAAAGGCGGAAAAGTTAACCGGACTGTAGAAAGAAAGAAAGAAAAGAAAGAAAGAAAGAAAGAAAGAAAGGCGGAAAAGTTAAGCCGGACTGTAGAAGAAAGAAAGAAAGAAAGAAAGAAAAGAAAGAAAAAAGAAAGAAAGAAAGAAAAGACGGAAAAAGTTAACCAGACTGTAGAAAGAAAGAAAGAAAAAAAGAAAGAAAGAAAGAAAGAAAGAAAGGCGGAAAAGTTAGCCGGACTGTAGAAAAAAAGAAAGAAAGAAAGAAAGAAAGAAAAAGAAAAAAGAAGGAAAGGTAGAAAAAAGAAAAAGAAAGAAAAAGAAGGAAAAGTTAACCAGACTGTAGAAAGAAAAGAAAGAAAGAAAGAAAGAAAGAAGGAAATACGGAAAAGTTAGTCGGACTGTAGAAAGAAAGAAAGAAGGAAAGGTAGAAAAAAAGAAAGAAAGAAAGAAAGAAAGGCGGGATGAAAGGAGGAAAAGTTGGCCCCACTGTGGAAAAAGAAAGAAAGAAAGAAAGAAAGAAAGAAAGAAAGAAAGAAAGAAGGAAAGGTAGAAAGAAAGAAAGAAAGAAGGAAAGGTAGAAAGAAAGAAAGAAAGAAAGAAAGAAAGAAAGAAAGTCGGAAAAGTTAACCAGACTGTAGAAAGAAAAGAAAGAAAGAAAGAAAGAAAGAAAGAAAGAAAGAAAGAAAGAAAGACGGAAAAGTTAGTCGGACTGTAGAAAGAAAGAAAGAAAGAAAGAAAGAAAGAAAGAAAGAAAGAAAGAAAGAAATGCGGAAGAAAAGAACGAAAAGAAGGAAGAACGGTGGAAAGGAAAAAAGCCAGAAAATAAAAAAGAGGAAATGAAGAAAGAAAATGAAAGGAGAAAAGAAAAATAAGTGAGACAATATTATAGCAGAGTTTTATCAAAAAATATTTCATTAAAACGGTGGATGAACGATGGAAAAAAAAGAAAGAAAGGAAGAAAAATAAAGAAAGAAATAAAGAGTGAAATTAAATAAATAAATAAATAAAGCTGGAATGAAAGCAGGGAAATGAGAAAAAAAGTATGTCACAATGAAAGGAGAGAAGAATGAATATAAAAAAGAGGAAAGAGATAAAGGAAACATGAAGTAAAAACTGAGTTTTATCAAAATAGTCTTTTTTTTATCCTGAAAAAGAAATTATAAAACAAAAAAGAAAGAAAATTGAAAGAGAAAAATTAAATTAAAATACAGAAAAAAATGAAGAAATAATAAACTAAAAACGATAACCAAAACGTTGAAACAAAAACTTTAAAAAGGAAAGATGAAAAATAAAGCAAAAAATTAAGAATGAAAAAGAAAACTAAAAGAACAAAATGAAAGACAAATAAATTTATTGACTTTTTTTTCTGATAAAAGCAAGAGAAGAAAATAAAAAAACGTGATGAATAATACAAAATATATCTTAGAAAACAACGCCATCTGCAATATTTCCTTGATGTTTTTTTTTTCTCGTTACATTGTCAAACAACTTATCTTGACTTGCTATAGATTAAAGGCAGTATCTTCGTCCATAAGGTTATTCTTTAGTTATCATTATCATCAGTTCCTTGATTGCTTCAGTCATCGGAGGGGAAAAGTGTCGAAGAAATAGACTCCTCCAGGATAATATGTTGGCAGTGACTCTCAAGATTTCCGGCATTGTCATGTCTGTTCACTATATTCTGTCTGATCAGCTTTCGCGTTGCCGTCCCCACTTGCGTTCGCCTTCAACAGTGCTTTCATGATCGTTATGCCGTGTGACCAATCTTTAGTGCAGGGTCTTTAAAATAGGCGGGAAACGTTTGTTTTTTTTTTTTTTTGTTTTTTTTTTTTTTTTGGTGGGGGGTTAACCAGGAAAAGATCTGTAAATCAACCGCTATATTCTTTGGCCTTTCTTAGTTGTTTATCTGGAGATCCTTACAAATTACCTGGTATTTTCTTATTTTTTTATCTGTTCTTGAAAAAGGCACAGTAATCCAGCAGATATATGCCTTTTCTTCGTGTGTATTTTATCGCTGATAATCTTTAAAAGTCACCATGTAATTTCTTTGCTTTTTTTTTTTTATTTTTTCTTGTTTCATTTCGGCTCATTTACAAAGACGAGACCAAAATTAGGCGGTGCGCCACAAGTATTTCTTTCAGCCAGCATCGTTTTAGAAATGTTCACTGTCACCTGCGTAAGAAAAATCAGATGTCAAAAAGTATATTTGTACTCGGGAAAGGTCGGAGAACAGTTTCTATTCGATTCATGATTGACCACAGAAGAATTCCTGCAGTAATGTGTCTTAACTTTTCGCGGTCGCCTGGTTGCTAAACAAGGCCATATGACTTCATATATCCTGCTGTTTAACCCATAGCTGGAAGCAGGGTGATTTGAGTAATGTTCATATCTTTCCCAAGAGTATTTGCGCGTAAGTGAAGGTAACGAACTCGAAAGGAATTCGAACTCGGTTCTCCGATTTCTCAGTCCGAAACGTTATCCATTACACACTCGTACGTCCTAACTTACAGCATTGGTATTCCCCAACAGTTACTCAGCTATTTATTGACTAGGCTCGACGTTGTTTAACTTTGGTGAAAACTGGTGTTTGAACGAGATATTAAATCTTAATTTAATCGTAAGATTGAATCTTAATTATTTTTTCGAAATGGCGTTATAATTATTCTGAAATATGTTTTATCTTAAATCCCAATTAAATTCTAAATGTTAATTTTATACAAAATTAATTAATGACTGAAATCTTAAATTTGAACGTAAAATCTGAAGTTAATTCTAAATGTCAACTTAATCTTAAATCTTAATTCAATCTAAAATCTTCATTGAGTATGGATTCTTAATTTAATGTCAAATCTTAATTTAATCATGTCAGTTTATTCTTAAATCTTCATTTGAAATCTTTCAGTTTATATGGATTCTTAATTTAACGTTAAATTTAATTTTAAGTGAAATCTTAATTCGGATTCTTAATTTAATTTCTTGTCTTAATTTAATTGATGTGTCAATATACTTTGAAAAGTATTTTTGTCATAAATTCTTATTTAAACTGAAATATTAATTTGGATAATTAACTTTAATTTCGTGTCTTATTTTAATCGAACGTGTTAATGTAATTTGAAATATTATTTGCGCTTTTTAAATTCTAATTTAAACTGAAATATTAATTTAATCTAAACTTGTTAATCTGCTCTTACTCTACCTACCAAGGTGGATTAAAATTGTGCCTCAGATTGCAATCCATGTCAGACACATTCGGAAGAGGATGATCTTTAATATTCTGTATTCCAACATGAAGTCAGGAAGTCCGAAAAATTACTACTCATACTACTACTACTACTACTACTAATAATAATAATAATAATAATAATAATAATAAACAAAATGATTGACATCTCTTCCAATATTTTGCAGCCCATAGAAAAGAATTCAATTTAAGAAAAGAACTAGAAATGACACTGTGTTTGACAATGTTTCACAAAAATTTGACAGTATGTTTCTTTTCTTCAAGTTATGTTTAAATATTGCATACAAGTGTAAAAAATATTTTTAAGAAAATACGAGTGCTTGCACAAAATCCCTTATCTAGAGAAAAACGGTTGTAGTGGTAATCAACGCGACAAAGCGAATGAAAAGCAACCAACGTGAATTGAATGCAACTCTAATGTGAGTAACATGATGGGGGTTATGCTCATCTTGAAAGTCCCTGATAGTTAAGTAGTAAGAACAATTAATCTGATAGCTCAGTGTAAATCTTATGGAACTGTCCTGTCGTTTTATTCAACTACCCGCGGTGAGCCGTTAGTAATTTCCATATATCGTTATCGTTATGTTTTAAGAACTAAGAGTTCGCTGAATTTTGCATAATTTTTAAGAATGTGTACCTTAAGATGTACGTTGAAATTACAGTCGTTCTTCATGATATAATAATAATAATAATAATAATAATAATAGGGTTCCAGGTAACATCAACGTACAAGTTGCCCAGAAGATCTCCCTACTAGTAACACGCTATATACTAAGAAAAGTGCTATCAATTAAATGACAATTCTCCTAAAGTGCTAAAGACCAAGTTTGGTCTTGGCTCTACAGGATACAAAACAGGAAACGTAAAATACACAAATAATAATAATAATAATAATAATAATAATAAAAATAAAAAAAAGACAGCAAAGACGAATGCAACCGACCAGATACAGAAGCTATGGCAAGATAAACCGTTTCATGGCCAATACTCTGCCCGTACCAAACAAGCTGACGTAGACAAAACCCGTACCCATCAGGGGCTACGTAGTGCGGAGTTGAAAGCTGAAACTGAAGGTTTGATCCTTGCTGCACAGGACCAATGCTTGCTAACTAGGAATTATCAAGCACATATACTAAAATATTGTGTCAGCCCAAAATGCAGATTCTGTGATAAATATCCAGAAACGATTGATCATCTTGTATCAGATTGCACGATATTGGCACCAACTGAATATAAAACCCGGCATGACAGAGTGGGCCAATATCTGCACTGGAAAATCTGCAACTTCTACGGGAAGGAAACTGAAAGAAAATTGTATGAATACCATCCAGACCCGGTTATGGAAACAGGGCCTGTTACAATTCTATGGGACTACAGAATACACACTGACAGAACAATCAAAGCCAACCGCCAAATATTGTTATTAAAGACCGCAAACGAAAAAAGTGACTCCTTATTGATATGGCAGTCCCTGCTGACTGCAATGTATCTTTGAAGATATTCAAAAAGCTGTCAAAATGACCTTGAAATAGAAATCTCGAAAATGTGGCATATGGGAACATCAACAATCCCTGCTGTAGTTGGAGCCCTAGGACTGGTTAGAAAAGATTGCAGTAGACTAATTGAAGGGATTCCTGGAAGTCCATGCCTCAAGGAGATACAAAATTGTTCTGACAAGTACAGCCCACACTTTACGAAGGGCTTTATCTATGTAATATTTTTTTTTTGTCAGTGGAAAGTGTCACGATGCCATTTTTAACCTTAGGTCTCTAAGCGGGACCCGGAAAGTAATGTGTAAAGGCCAGACATCAAAGGAAATAATAATAATAATAATAGAAATACTGATATTGTGGACAAATAATATTCCTTTACTTCTGGTGATAATTCTCACTCAGTAATTTTTACTTAGCGTATTTTTTTTAATGTTATGTCTCTTCTGGACGTAGGTGAATATGGATCTCCACATTTTCGTTTTTGTTTAATATATGTTCTTTTGAAGGGAATTGGAGTTGTTTCACGTTGATATATCCAGGCTTTCGAATTCGCCATTGACTTTCGCCCAAAACACTTATCCTATTCCACTCAACCATTTCACTCATAAAAGTGTAGGTCTGAGGAAGAGATAGGTTATTCCCTTGCCAAGATAAAGAGTACAAATAGGACTGCTTTCGTCTGAATTTGAACTCGACCTGGAGGATCTTCTTTTACACATGAATGATCGTTATATTACCCGCATATCCAAGATACTCTCAAATTCATCGAAGTACAACCAAGAGTGAGACTCCCGCTTCATACTATATTACTAGTCTGCGAGCTGAGCTTACTAACAAAGTAACCATTTTAATATCAGGTTGAGTCATAAATTATTTCCGTTTTTATTTAGCAGATTCATTCTTCAAAAAATAATGTACAATTGCATTTTATTCAGTTATATATACATTGCTCTTTGCAATTTCTTATGACCACTTAGCAAGCAGCTTTTCGATAACTTATAAATAAAATACCACAGGTTTTGATCAGAACAAATAAACTTCCGTCGAACTATTGAATCTGTTTTTCTTTTCAGCTATTGAAAAAAAAGTAATAATCTTTTGATGGGTCATTTGAATATAGTAGATCATTTGGTGGGTCATTTAAATCATTTGGTGGGTAATTTGAATCATTTGGTTGGTCA